GAATTACAAGTTGAACTTCATGAACTGTTGGGAAATGGTTCTGGTAAACTGTTTTGGGGTGATTGTTATGGAAAACGAAATTTCCGCAAGAAAACTACTGAAGATATCATACATGGACATCCTGTAAAAGGTTGGTATGAACCAAGAGAAACGTATGACAGCAAGTTTTCAAACCTTTCCTCTGCAATAGATAAGTGTCGAGATGAGTGCGTTGGAATTTATTTATCTGATTTACCTCTTGCTCTGGAGCATTTTGGTTCGAATATTGACCGTGCTCAAGGCGATGTCCCAGATGTAGTCTATGTTAATTTGTTGTCAATGTTTCCTTCAGTTGTAACTTTCATGGAGTTTTATTCTCCAGCAGGAAATGCCTATGGCATTGGGTCATGGTGCCAGGTACGCTATTGTGCTTGTTATGCAATTCTGCGAGTTTTGATTGAAGCTGACGATTCTATGGTACGTACAGATGAAGTAGTCGGTGAGGACGATGCACCTGACTTGTGTATTTTCTTTGGTCGTAAAAGGCTTTTAACTGTGACCCGTTCAGGAATTGGTGAATTCTTAAGAAAATTACAATATTGCAAAAGTAAAGCGAATGCTAAAGATGGATATGCTTTCTTCCAACGCTAGAGTCAACTACTACCACAACATTTGACTGATTTATTCTGGCATAGGTGGCTATGTGAATATCTTCCGATGCTGCAAGCAAGATCTGAATGGTTGGATATAAAGCGTAACCTACAACCTGGTGATCTCGTCCTAGTTAATAGCAAAGACACAGAGAGGTCTCTGGCAAAGGCTATAGTTAAGCAGGTGTACTATGACCAAGATGGCCGCGATAGGACGGTGCGTTTGAAAAATGCAACTCAAGAAGTCGAACGGGATAAGAAGCGTATGTCTGTTGGAAGAAACAGACAATTTGAAGGTTCCAGATACGACAAGTCAATGTGGTGATCGTTCGCGGGGAGTGTTAATCGCGACAGATAGATAGACAGATTGACGGACAGCTAATCGATATATGTGACCCTTTGTCGCGATTATTGACTAATTTAATGTAACTCTCACCACGTGATGTGACCTTGAATGTTGTTTATTTCCTGTCAGTCTATAGTGTGCATATGTAACTAATTAACTGTTCATTTTGTCTGTTCCTTCAATACTGTTCAGTATGTTTTTGTCTTTTCTTGAGTTACAATGGATTTGTGCCTTTCTTGGTGTAATTGTACGCTTTATTTTATGTTTTAGAAACAGATAAAGTTTAAGTCAAGTTACTCTGTTTTTAACTATAGTTAAGCTAAGACTCTGTGTCGTCAGTACTGAGGACGGACTAAATCCGTAGGCAAAACTAATCCTAAAATCAGGCCATCTCTTCTGAAACAGCTCTCTGTAGGCCCTCGTGCGACTTGTTCCAACACTCCACAGACTCGGGAAAACTGCCAAGGGAGTGGAAAATGGCCATTTCTTCTCCGATATTCAAGGGAAACATAGGCTTAGTTAACTGATTAACAAACCGATCAGTAGCACTAAGTAACATACTGCTCGCGGTACGTTGAACGTTTGCGCTACATTTTTGCTTGATTCGTTACATAAAATTTATCTTGTTGTAATACTTGCACAAGTACTATACTACTTCCACATTTTTAACCATTAATTCCCATTTCTAATAGTTATGGTTAATCAAAGTAAAAAAACAAACCCAATCTCCTATAAAGCTGGTGACTAATTAAACGTCCCCGAATGCTACATCAAGCAACATACCCCCTACAAACGGTTATAGGGAGTCACATAACTCACTTGTATGCCGCAAGCATCGAGCTGGAACTGAGGATAAAATTGTACTGACAGCTAATACTAGCACTACTCCTAAAAATTCAGTACCCTCTGCTCATACAGAACCCCTCTCTACACCTTATGTGCTTGTTAAAAGCTCCAGCCATCAAGCTCTTTTTCAGTACTATCTTCAGAAATAGAACTTCCAAAGTTGTCTATAGGAGAACTTAAGGCTGAGTTAAGGTAAATAAAAAACAATAAGTCAGTAAATGCTGGAAATATTGAAACGAATACCGATTTCGACCTAGGCAGTTTTTCTCCGGTATTCAACGGGGAATATAGGATTACTTTTGTTTTTAGCAAGCCGCGCTTTAGCACTAGGTAACACACAAAAACCTATGTGATGAAATAAAACAAGTAGTCTAGGCGTTCGTGTTAAATAACTATCCTATAAATTCATTTATATGATCAGATAAGGTTAAAAGCAAGATAAAAATTATTGTCAAACTAGTAATGATAACATAATTAAGAGAGAATATAAGTCATCCGCTGTTACGTCATGTAAGAACATCCGGGACCCCACATAGGATTCTTAATAAAGCAGAAATTAGGGTGGCATTCAAACCTACAAACTCACTCAGAGACAAGCTCTGTAGACCTAGAGACCCGGTGGACCCAATTAGACAAAATAATATAATTTACGAAATGTCCTGCAATGACTGTGAGGTCAACTGCATAGGTCAAACTAGTAGGTCGGGGGTGGTCAGATTGTCGGAACATAAGAATTTAGCTAAGGTAAGAATGGTGGACCCAACCCGAGAAGATAAGTAATTTAGAAAAAAGCTCAGCAGTTGCACTACATGCATTAACACACAACCGCACAATAGGGTGGGAGAAGGTCAAGATTCTAGGAAGTAATCTGTGTAGATGGAGGGAGAGATTGATTACTGAGTCCTGGTTCATTGAGTCCACACCCAACACATGTGACAGAAACGACTCAATGCAAATACCAGAAATATGGGAGATATTATTACCGCCAGTCAAATCAGAGGGGCATGATAAATAATCTCAAAGTTCTATTTCAATTCAAGCACATCACAGCATTCTAATAAGTTACTTAATATGACTACAAAAACACTCATCTTATTTCTCATCTGATTGTAATTGATCAATAACACTCATATTATTATTTCTATATGTACGTTGTCCTATATTGATTTTTATTTAAATATCTAGTCAATTCCATACATGTATATGTATGAAGGAAAAAGTTGTGTGAGTAACTTGATATGATTATGAGCAATAATTTGTGCTCAAAACGTCATCAGTTAATATTACTGTGTAACACTGCGACTTATCAAAATAAAATCTTATCCATAATGAGGGGAAATTCCACTACTTATAGACCAGTAGCCCTACTCCCATTGTTATCAAAAGTACTGAAAAGCACAATTGATGATCACATCAGGGAGCACCTCGATGGGACTAGTAGACTCCATGAAGTCCAACACGGTTTCAAGAACATAACATAACATAACAATTTCGCTTTATTCCAGAAACAGTACTTGTGGTACATTGTGGAATTTTCAGCACATATCTACAATATTGCGTCTAATTTCATCGTACATTTAAAAGGAGTATTATAAAAAAAATAAAATATTAAAAACAAACCAAAAAAAGAAACAGAAATAACCAACAAAAAATGCAAATAAAAATACTGAGTAAAAAAGAAGATCAACACAAATAACGCAGATACTGAGTTCAATCATCTTAGCACCACTCGTCACCAGGGGTGTCACAGGGTTCTATTCTCAGACCGTTGGTGTTTTCGATTTTGATCAGTGATCTAATGTGCCGCCTAAGCTGCCCGACTCTTCTATACGCTGACGACGTAAAGATTTGGAGGGCAACAAAGTGTGTGGAAGACTCAGATAGGCTGCAGGCAGATCTAAAGGATTCGGAAGACCAGACAATGGCCAATGATATGACTTGCGACCTGAAAAAGTGCAAGGTAGTGAAACTGCTCACCTATAGACTGCAGAACGCAAGTTACACCCTGTGCAAGGAAAGCTTGTCCTGAACCACGTTGGAGCCTGACTTAGGTCTACTTCTAACGGAAAAAAGCGAAGGAACATGTGGCCATACACTTCCCACATAGACAGTTAGGTGCACTCACTCCTGAGCTCTTTCTGAGGTTGCACAAAACACGTCAGACCACATCTTGAAATGCATAATATCGTTGCACCCTCACTGCTTAGAAGAGACGCCAACCTCTTGGAAAGAGTCCAAAGACGAGTGACAAAAAGAGTGGTTGGTCTCCGTAAACCATATGATGAAGGGCTAAAGAAATTAGGCCTGTTCACACTTAGCTACCATCGGCTTAGGAGGGATTTGATTACTGTCTACAAGATAACAAATGACCGGAATCACCCAAACAAAGGTGTTCTACGATTGCGTATGTATAGGCTTCCTCGTGGAAATCACGAAGTTAAGCTCACCAGAGGGCAAAGACTCAGATGCGCTCGTACTTCTTCTTTTCACTGCGGGCTTCCTGTCCCTAGATCTCCTTACTGGCAGATGTAGTTATGGCACCGTCTATGGACACGTTTAAGCAATGACTGGAGAATCATGCAGCGACACAAGGACTGCGTCCAAATGGCCTATCCCCTCAAAATCCCGTGCACCCCTCAGAGGTACACAATTAAATTCGTCGTTTCACTTCTTTACATTCTCTCCTGTATTACTCTCCAGATAACTCTAACTACACTTATTATTATTACTGATATATGTATATAAATATATCAATTTCAAATTTAATCAACCGTCTGTTTTACTAATTCGTTATTTCTTTTTCTGTCTGTTCGTCTGAATAACTTACACTAATCATATCTATTATTATGTCTTTTCTTTTGATGACGATACCAGAGGACTAATTTGTGAAAACATCAACTCCATTCACAGTATTGACAGTCTTAACACACCGCATACTACAAACCACATAAAATTAACCCCAGTACTACTCATTTGGAGTCAACCATGGGTACGACAGTCGATTGGTGGGGCGAGATAAGGAGAAATTTACCGAAGATCAGGAACGTCTACCTAAAAATCAAGAAGCAAGCAGAAACAAATCGGATGAGTTTATACTATCTCGTTAACACGATATTGGATATTGATTATTTTGTTGAGGACCTTGAATAAGTTCCGCAATTCAAAGTATGTAATCTATTATGGCGTGTAAGGAAAAGCCATCTAAAAGCATTTTGAAATCTGATCAGGAACAACCTCGTAAGTTTGCGATCAAAACTATCTTTTATTATGTTCATGGTGTTATTTCAACAGGGAAATTGTGCTTTTTAGATTTATTATTGTACTGTAACTCCCTCAACATTTGAATTTCTAACAAATGTGAAACTTATAATTTTTTCGCCTGAGTTTCCGGCTCCCTTCGAAAAATAACTCAATTTGCTTACCCATATTTGCTTGTATATCAAAATACCTCTGTTAGAAAACTGTGAACCATTCGCTCGGTGAGATTATTCAGATGTTTCTCACAACCTTGTCTAAGTTTAATCTCGTCGTGTAAAGCATGGGATGAAAATTTAGATGTATTGTATTGTAACCTAAAATATGTATTCATTCAGGTGTATTAAATGTAGTTTTATTCTGTCATCCTCCGTGATATTGCTTTGTGAATCGAAACCATTTTCTGTGTATATTGGAATGTGTGATATATATAACATCAAGTACAGTATGTTTTGGATATAATTTTTCGCAGAGTTTTGTTTTGGGTGAAAGGGTGACGTGGCGGCGATAACAGTATGCGACTCCTGTTTTCTAAATTAAATGACAACTGACTGGACAAAGGGAAGACAAAATTTTTATGATTAGAACAATATTTGTGGCATGTAGTCCTCATTGTGAGCCTAATTAACTGTAGATCGTACACAAATAACAGAAATTAGCATACTAGCGTCTAGTTGGTGAGCATTTGTAGCAAAACGCTTTCAACGTAAGGGGTCGCTTAAACTAGTGAAGGCGGACAGTTAACCTCAATATTCAACACAAATACAAGCTATCAAATTTGTCAAGTTCTTCTCATCTGCATTAAATAAAGTAGAAATAAAGCTGTCGTTAACAGAACCCAAACACCTAACATCTCTTTCTACTTGTCATTAGTCACTCCTTGTCTATAAGAATCAAGAGCTATTCGTCTTGTTCTAATCCATTTAAAATGTGTGTATTTTCACTGGAATACCTACACCGACATCATCAGTCAACTGACTAGTACGTGGCACAGCGGTTATGACGCTCGCCAACCATGCACATAGTCCGAGGTTCAATCCCCAGCCGATGCATATTTGAAATCAGTGGTCGGGCAACTAAATTTGGGTACCGGTATCACATGCTGAAAACTCCATACTTGTATCAAAAATACTACATGGAGTCAAGCTACAATACAAAAAATAAAAATAGGCTTTATAATTGTTGTTTTGTGATATACAGGCTTAAAGCGGGGTTAGGAGGCCGAAATTTTCAGCATGTAAAGCAGTTATAACTATGACCTTTGTTGCTGTGTTTTCAGGACTAGTTAGCAGAGATGATGGAATCACCATCAGTGCTAACGAATGAAAAACTATAGATTCAAAAGTAATCCACCTCATTATCTTCAATGAAATAAATTGGAACAGGATTTTGCCATCTGATATCAGTGCTCCAAATAAAGGTATATTTGTGTAGAGGAAAAATCCTAACATACTTCGGCTTAGGTGATGAAAATCACTTTCGACAAATCCCTGATAATATGGATTTGTTTAGGGGCAGTTACTTACTATTCCACTCATTCATTAACCTTAACGACTTTAAGTAAAAGATGCCTTCGCCAGTATTCCAGCTGAAGTGAATTATTAAACATTTACACAAATAGATCTAAGAAGAGCCGATTTCAGATGTTGTGTATAGTCTAATAATGCAAGATTTTAATGCGTGTTTATTCATGGACATATACTTTCTCTAAAATCCTAATGTTAAAACATACATGGTCCAATAGTTGCCTGAAGCGCATTGTCTTTATAAGAAGACAGAATTATGCCTGGAGAAGCTAAGAAGCAGGCTTACTTCATTGAGTCTTCTGAATTTAGGATCAATGGCACTAAGCATGCAGAGTCAGAAAACAATAACACCTTAGATTCGTTACCAATAATTGCAGCTAGTTTGATGAATGGAAAGTCAGGTGGCATATTTTGTCTAAAGCCTATCCCGAATACTTCATACCACTGAAAATATTTGCTACTAAGAGCTCCTGTGAGAGAATGTATGCTTCTTTAATGTCAAAGAATTGTTTAGTTTTGCAGTATTATCTTAAAACTACATTTGCAGATTACATTGTTCAAAGTGAGAATTCATCAGAGTTTCTTCTAAAAACCTAAATTATTCGAATCAAAATATGTGATCTGCTTAATATCATAAATGGAAATAAAGAAATCAAACACCAGTCATATCAACTAGTGGTGCTTTATAGTTAAATCGAAACGATCTAAACAACAGGTGGCTATTTCGCCTGTTTACAGTCAAACTCATCGACAGTGTATGCGGTTTGCCTCAGCTCAAAGAGCCAGATCAGGTAAACAGTGTACAATTACTTATATCAGTGTTTATGGGGGAGGGGAATATATCCCGAAACATTAAGAGGAGAAATATTTCCTAAATATGAGTTGTTTTTTTGACACTTATCTGAATGACCTTAGCATTTTCATTCCTGTCTGCCATATACAAGATGATTTATACCACCTGATTTTAAGGAAATTCCAAGAGGCATATATATACCAAATACAGTTGTTAATAGATTCGAGTTAAAAACATAAATCTCTTTTAATTTGTTTGTCAGTGATGTGATGTTATTTGACGAAACATTGATGTTGTTAATGACGGTTATTCTCTAACTATTATGGTTTTATAACTATACAAGTTATCTAAAAGAATGGTTTTCTTTCTCCGATAAGTCGTTTAAAACTTGTAATGCTCATCTCTAATCAATTTGCGATAACAATCAAGATATTCTAAATAAGACACTACAGAAATACTGATCAAATAGGGACTAGAGCGAAGTTTAATAAGCGAATTGAATAACATGACATAATTAGCAGTTATAAATAGAGTTCACCTAGAAGTAATGATCACTGTCATAGGGAAAATTAGTATAATAGTGTGACAAAAGTGGAAATTGTAACACTACAAATTAAGTTACTTTTGTGTCAAGTTGTATATTCTCTCTGCAAAGCAATCAATAAATAAAGCAGAGTTCAATGTTTCAAGCGTTTTGAGTTTTATTCTCTTTGTTATATAATACTTATAGGTCAGTCATCAGTGACATAATTGTTTTTGAGCGCCTTCCGATGACTCATCCATTCATTGGTTACTGTCCGACTGAGATAGCGCTTATTCACCTTATCTGGTTAATCTGTCTAACTAACAGCTGAGATATTTTTTCTCAGAATCGAATCTTAAATACGTATGTACTGCCTAATCTCATCGCTACACCTAACACTTAATGGTTCGTGTTTCTGATGTGTACCTTAATTTGAATTCTTCAACCTTTTAATCAAATAATGATCTGATCAACTTTATGAAACTTGGATTGTTGTGCATTTTAACAGATGTGCTGGATAGGAAAGACTGTTCAACGGAGCTACAAACTTTTACCTACTTAAGTAGCTGTAACACAAGTTCTGTATATAGTTCTAACCAATGTCTAAGTCCCCTCAACATGCTGCTGATATTTGGAATTCGGCTATGTTAAAAACAGAGGTTGTAAAAATCAGATGATGTGAAATGTTTAAGAGAATGTTAATTAAACAGTATAGGTTCTTGACACGTTGAGACCTAACTTTTCACAGAACTAATGTGACTTGATTCAGACGGAATTAGTGGCTATGCAGATTACCCGTTTCCAGCATCTTCAAAACTTTAAATGCCCTATCACTATCATGTTCTTCCAACCTTCCAGTTCTTATACTTCTCTGCATTGCTTATTCTTTATTTACTGTTGTAAAGTGGGACATTATAGGTCGTAGGTCTTTTCCATGAATTCTTGAGTGACATATCTCGGTAGGCAAATGGCCATAAATAGTTTAATGGCTTTAATTCATATAAAATAAAGTGTTTTATTTATAGTATGCTTTTTAAAAAGTAAATATCATAGATTTAATCTTAAAAACTGATAAAGAAGTCTTTCTTATCTTTTCCGATTAATAATATTACTCCATCGGGTTCCATGCAAAACAGAGGGTATCAGAACCACTTCTCCAATTCAAATAGTTCTCTATAGTTCCCTCTGGCAGGCTTTACTTACGAGTGCCGATAGGCTTTCATTTCGTCTTCAATCTACCTTCTTCGTGTCACCTTGAGAGAATAAACTTGTCGTTTCCTATTTGGGTTCTACCCAAGGGCCTAACACATGCAAGTAAAACTTCTTATTACAAAACTATGGGTTTATTTTAAATTCAGAAGAACCAACCTTTTTCTGCATGCACGGAAATCACTGAATTATAATTATCACCTTTGCTTTGGAAGTATAAACCAATTGAAAATAGTAACTTGTATGCATATATATATATATATATGTAAGTGACAAACAGAATCCGTGATTAGTTATAACGTAGTCTATCGATAAACAAACAGAATAGTATAACTGTATAGGTTGAAAGGCCTGAATTAAATGAACAGATACTTAGTCCAGAAGAAGTCTAGTGTATTTTATTAAAGACACTTAAAACTCCCATTAAGTGTAGAATACTTAAGTGTATGTTTTGAGTCAATATCCTGAATACAAAAGGTGGTTTACTAAAGAATTCTATACTGTGTATTAATAAAACTGGAAATGAGTGGGTAGCATAATGGATTTTCCTTTATATATATATATATATATATATATATGATAAGAAAAAACAGTATGAAGACTGTTTAGGGCTCGCAATTTTTTCCCTATATAGACGTTACTGTCTTCTCATGCCTAGATACAGTAGACAAGTAGTTACTTAACTGTGATATATTCACCAATGTTTGTAAAACTTTCGTTATTTTGATTCTAACAAACTGCTTTTTATTCTAATGAGTAGCAAAGCTACCGGTTACTATTTCTTCTGCGCACTGTTTTGCACAAAAATAAATTAAACTCCAGAAAATTTCCGAAATTCAGAGTTTCTTGTAAAAACGGAGGCTAGCAGTTCCTTTACAGACTCCACTGCTAGCTGCATACAACTAGCAGCTTCGAGTTCTTAATCCTAATA